GAGACCAACCTGGTCTACATGAGCTAGTTTCAGGACAGCCTCCAAAGCCAGAGAGAAACCCTGCCTCGAACCCCCACTCCCCCAAAAAGAAACAGGGTTTCTCTGTGTAACCTTGGCTGTCATGGAACTCACTCAATAGACCAGATTATCATAGAACTCAGAGATCCTCCTGTTTCTTCAAGTGCTGAGATTAAAGGTGTGCACCATCACTGCCTGGCTGGATCTTGTGATTTTTAGTCAGTTTCAAAAGTTAACAGTTTATACTTAGCACCCTTAAGAAATTAGAAATTACTAGGAAGCAAAAATGAGAAACATAATCCTACTGATCTAAAACCATATCACAGCTCTTTCTGGAATGTTTTGTGCCATATAAGACTACACTAATTCTTCAAAAGGCCCAAAAACAATACAAAATTTATAAACGGAATCCAGGCTAGATGAGGCATAAACACCAATTCTTTTGTTTGTTTGTTTGTTTTTTGGTTTTGTTGCTGGGGATTAAACCCAGGACCTCACAGGTCCTTTACCACTGAACTACAGTGTTAGCCACAAGACTCTTAAAACATGTACCTTCTTTGTAAAGACTGAAAAAATACACTCTTAGGACATAGATGAGTACAAACTTTGCTAAATTATGAATTTAAAATTATGCCTCAAAGCTAGGAGGGGAAGAAAATTTGATTGAAAATTATTCCACAGCTAGTGAAAGCAAGTCTAAACATTCCCTTCGAGTGGTTTTTACATTTTCAGATGTGTGCTGTGTGATGTGGGGCTTGTCCATCTTTGAGGTCTCACCCAAGTTAGTGTTCTCAGAGACTCACAGCCTTCCTTTTTTAAATTTATGAATCTGTATGAGTCTAGTTATTCTACTAGACTATTTCCCTAGACAAAGTATTAAATGCTCTGGGTGTGCTTGGTGCCCTGAGGACATAAGAGGGTGTCAGATCTCTTGAAACTGGAGTTACAGGGACTGTGAACTATTTAACATGGGTACTGGGAACCAACTCAGGTGCTGTGAAAGAGTAGCACTCATTCTTAACCAATGAGATGTCTCTCCAGCCTCATTTTCATGGAGTTCTTATAATAGTTTTTTTTCCACAATTGCTGACTTTCACATGCAAAATTAAGTAAAAATAAATACCTTTTTATATTAAAACTAAAAAGTTGTGGTGAAAATGATTAGGTCAGCCCAGTTCACTGACATTCATTAGCAAAGTGACTTATTAGAAACTACTTTTGATATTCACTATAAGTGTCCAAAATTTGTTACAGGTTGGCATATTGCAATGGTGTATTATTACTATGGCTTCATAAAGTAGATAGAGAAAGCGATGTTTTTAATTTTGGCTAAATTAGGTCTACCCTCAACTTTGTCTCAAAGTTTGCTTGTTTTCTAGTAAAGCTGATTCTGGGGTGGAATAATGTCGCCACCCACTGTGCAGATTGGGGTATGACAACGAGCAAAGCCAGCTTTAAATTAACCATGAAGTAAAAATTAAGTTAGTCCATATACACATTATATTCCTCTTGAATTTGACTGGCAGTAAAACTTACTGAATCAATCAGCTCTTCTAGGATCCCAGTGACACGAGGTCTTTAGGACTTTAACAGCAAATTTCTTTAAAGCATAGATGATCTGGGCAGTAGTAGTGCAGGCCTTTAACCCCAACACTTGGGCAGATCTGTGAGTTCGAGGTCAGCCTGGTGTAGAGAGAGAGTTCCAGCACAGCCATGGATACACAGAGAAACCGTGACTCATAAAGAAAAAATAAAAGTATAGATGAACATATGCACACATACAATTTACTAAATTTACTTCTTTCCCAGTTCCTTTAACAATCACTTTTTTGCAGGGTGTGGTGCCACACGCCTTAAATCCCAACACTTGAGAGGAAGACACGGGCAGAGTTCTGTGAGTCTGGATGCCAGCCTGGTCTACAAAGTGAGCTCTAGGACAGCTAGGGCTGTTTCACAGAGAAACCCTGTCTCGGAAACTAAACGAAATCAAAATAAAACGAAAGACACGAACACACACAAAAAACCAAACCAAACCAAACCAAGAACAAAACCCTACTTCAATCACCCTTTAAAATTAGTTCTGTTCATTTTTTAACTAGCCTATATTTTACCAAAGTGACTATTTTCTCCTATACTACTGTTAGACCCCCGGAAAACTCAGGCCTCCGGGGTCCCAGCCCAGGACCCAGGTCACCCCAATCACCAGGCGGATTTGAAAACTTGTTGCAAACTGCATGAGACTTCATTGTTGTTTAACGAGCTAATTCCATGGCGGATGGCTAGCAAAGACAGCTCGAACTGGATGCATAGAGATCTTGTAGGGCAGCATAAGGGGAGTGTCTAGGGGTACGCACAGGCTCAGGATTGGTGTGCCTCCAGGCTTGGAGGGCTTGCCCTGTGTTGATTGGCCAATTGGTTGTTATGGCCCATAGGCCCTCCCAAGGTGGTTGCTATGCTATGCGCATCATTGCTGTGCACTTGTCTGTAAAGTACACCCAGAGCCGTAAAGCATAGCACCACCAGCTAACTTCTGATTGGTTCCTTGCCACAAGGCAGGCATCTGACCTCTTAGTGACCAAGGCAAGGTCATGGCGAGCACGTGTTACTGTCATGGCTGCCGAAAGGGGCAGCTGGTCCCTTCACTACCCATACATTATTTATTTACTATTGTGCTTGTGAGACAGGGACGCACAATGTAGTCCAGGCTGACTTCAAACTGTCAATTATTCTTCTTCAACCCATCTGAGTGCTGGGATTATGGGCATTCTCCATGGTGCCTGGTTTTAAATGGATCTATACCAAAATATCTTTGGTCTATACTGAGGCTATTCATGGACATTTTCCTAATTTTTTCTTATGAATTCTCTTCTAGTAGTTACATAAGTCATTCTCTCATTGTCTGAATATAATTCCTTGAAAGAAAAGTATTTCCATCATTTATTTTCATGCCCCATCAACTCACGGTCCCCACCATTAGTATTTTGCATTCAGTAGACACGCAGTGTTTACCAGTCAATTAGCATAAATGCTCTTGTTTTTCACTTTATGGGCTGTTAGGGCCCATAAAGATGGGTCCACTTCTTCTCACCTCAATGTCAAAGAGTTCAAAACTGTCCTTTGTAAGTCAAAAGACCTAAAGGTCTAATGTTTGGCTACTGCAGGATGTTTAGGCCTTGGTAGTCGATGTCTTATCTAAATAACAACAGACTTGGGCTCAGGTGTGTTTACCCTTGACTCTGCAAGTTGGATAACAGGTGTGGCTACCAAATGCCTGGAGGATTAAGGGAAGTAAGTCTGTTTGATCCTTATACATGATAACAGAAGTCTTCTGCCATGTCCTGACCATGACCACCCCCCCCTTTTGGTTGGGTACTTAAGAATGTTGAAGAATAAACACAGGGCATTCAGTAGTCACTGGATTACCCTCCTGACTCTATCCTGTGTCTTTGTCTTTCTCTTAACTTCTTTACCTACCCTTTCTCAATTCACACTGCCCCCTCAGGTACGAACTGGGCAAGTTAGCTGGCTCCAACTGTAGCCCCACAAAGTAGCTTCCTGTAGGGAGATACCGTAACTATGCCTCCTAAGGGCTGGCTACAGGTGTGTCTGACCATGCCTGTCCGGGGGGGGGGGGCTTAAAAACCTATTACACATCATTCTGACCTCACCTTTACCACGCTCAGGGCGTGGTCAGGCACAGCTTCCCACATGCAGCAATCATTTTTTCGAGACAGGGTTTCTTTGCTTATGGCTGTCCTGGAACTCGCCCTGTAGATCAGGCTGGCCTCAAACTCACAGATATCTGCTTGTCTCTGCCTTCCAGTGCTGGGATTAAAGGCATACTCCATCACCACCTGATCTGATTCCATCATATTTGTGAACCTAACTTTATAGCTGATAATGTATTCACCATTCCAGATTACTTCACCTGTGAGGGTTCTATTAACATCTCCTAATACTAAAGGTTGGAAAATAATTTTTGTTTATTTAAAGTATAGATATGAAAGGTAATCCTCCACTACACAGGTCAATCTGGACTACAGAAGAGCTTGTCTCAAAACTGATACAAGAATCCATACATAGATATTTAAATGTAGAAGTAATTCTCACAATTTAAAAAATCACTGAAAAATTGGGAGCCCCAGAAGGGCTAACATTTCAACAAATGGCTGATATTTACTAGTAGCTACCAGCTTTAGTCTAAAAACGTTTATTTTAATTAATTTACTTGAGAGAGAGTCTCACTATGCAGTCCTATCTGGCCTGGAACTCAACATATATCAACCTGTCTGTACTACCACATCCTACCCTAAAAATCTTTCAAATTTTAAAAAAAATATGTGTGTTTATGATGTGTGAGAATCTGGGTGTGCTCAAGCTACTGTTTAAGAGTGAGGTCACTTTTCAGGACTTGGTTCTATCCTTCCATAGTAGCTTTCTGGGGACTGGACATGAGCTCTTATGGCTTGGGCAGGGAGGGCTGTTACTACTGAATCATTTCATTGGCTCAAGGTCCCAGCTTTAGATGTGTGATTTTCAATTCAAAAGCCAGGGCTACATTCTAAAAGTATTTATTGATCACCTACTTGCCAGATACTGTTTTTTAGTCCTTGGGTTCATAATAGTAAATAAAGCTCATGGAATTTATACTCTAATGAAAACAAATACCACAATTAGTTGTTCCTTAGAGAATGATAAAAGATATGAACAAAATATGAACCAAAATATGTGGAGAAGTAAAGGGCATGGTTTGCAGGAAGGGTGTTTGCACAAATACATTCACTTAAATGCCTGGATGGATCCTGTGGGAACCTGAGTTTATGACTCTTACTAACAACCAAATCATTATAAATGTTTTTGCACTATAAAGCTTGAGCAAGTCAAAAGCAAGAGTGTACTTCCACTCATCTTTGAAGAGTACTCAGATCCGTCAGCCCCTTGCCTCCCAAGTGCTGCGATTAATGGCATGAGCCACACACAACTCGGGGCATAAGGATTTTTAATTATGTTTCTGAGTGTGAGTATGTGAACCTGAGTGTAGATGCCAACCAAGGCCAGAAGAGGGTGTCAGGTTCCCTGGAACTTAGAGTTCCTGGCTGCTCTACCCGTCGCCCCCCTTCCCTCCCCGTGGAGACTAGAACCAAACTTTGCCAGCAAGGGCTCTTAATTGATGAGCTCTCTCTCCAGTTCCTTCACTCATCTCTGTATTTCTTGGTCCAAACTTTGTTTTCATACTGAAGAGCTGAGAAGCGAAGGCGAAGAGTCTCTCCGCGCTCGCTTTCCCGAGTGCTTGGTCAACTGAAGGATCCAACAAACATCAGCAACCTAGGAGTCAATCGACAGATTCTCAACGCTCCCCATAGGCCAGCGGTTCCGTTTCCATAGCAACCGGGACGCGGAGCGCGCGCGCGCGGCCCCAGAGGCCAAGACCTGACCTGGTACCCAGGTAGTACTCGGGTGAGAATGGAGCCTCTGTCATAGTCTGGGGCGAAGGGACCCACATCCCGGGACCGCGCACTCCGCCTCGCCTCCGGGACGCAGCAAGCTCGCCGGCCACCAGCGTCTCAAGCATAGACAACTTCCGGCCTCGAAGTTCCACCCCGCCTCCGAGGCTCGCCCGGGTCCTCGCCGCGGCAAGGTAGTATTTGGAGCCCCGCCGGACCGTCGCATTTCAGCCTCGGATGCCGGCGCGATGCCTCTGTTCACAGCCAACCCGTTCGATCATGACGTGGGTGAGTACGGTGACCTGCGCCGTCCGCGCCGGGGAAAGTGGGCGGCGGTCCTGGTGCCTGAGAAGCCAGGCGGAGAGCGAAGGGGCGGTGCAGCTCTCGACAGCGGGGGGCAGCCTCGGAGCGTCTCTGGCCAGGCTACCTCCTACCTGTCAGAGATTGGGGTACCTATCAGGGCTGTTCTCGTCACCCAGAGCAGGAGTGGGGAAAAGGCAGGATCGCTGGAGGCTCAAGTTGCTGATACAAACTTCCTGATTTCTCCAGAGCTGGTTAACACCCTTCCCCTTGGAAGAAAGTGCAGTGGTGGCCATCCTGCTGCCTAGGGTAGTCCCGAACCAGAAACCTAGACTCACCAGGCTTAACTCACATCGCTTCCGTATAAACACATTCAAGCTCTGATGGTTGCATTTTCAATGTTTACTGACGTTCTGAATGTGCTGCGAGAGCCAGTCTCAGAGAATGAAAAGGAAGACTCTCAGGATCTCTAATTAGCCCAGAACAACTGATGTTTGTTGGAGTCAAACTTCTGGTTATTCAGGTAGTATAGGTCTTTCAGAATTAGGAAAAGATGGATGGAGTAAGCATAATATTAACAGTAAAAGCAAACGGGCTGGCAGTATTCTTGAAGCAGTAGTTAACAGGCTCCTAGCGACATTTTAGGATTTAAGTGATTTTGAGTCAAAATGTTACATATTTTAGCAGTGAGCTACCAGTTCAGTTACAATTCCTTAGTGAAGAGAAGTCTAGAAAGTGCCTCATTTTGTTCTACAACTCTCACAAGTCATGTTCAAGTGTATGGGAGACTAATTATATAGGAAGCATGTTGAGGCTTAGTCGCTGATTTGGGATAATTGTTCTTTTATTACATTACCTACGTGAGGCATTGCACTTTTTAATTTTTATTGAATTAATTTAACTTTCACAGTGAGTCTGTATATAGTCCAAGCTGGCTTCAAATTCCCAAAACCTCTGTTTTAGCATCGAGAATTCTGGGATTCCAAGTCTGGGCCTCCACTAGGCTTGAGACCTGCATGTCTTACTGTAAAAGCTTTCATTTTGCTGTAATGAAATGAATCAGAAAAGGCAAAACAGAGGAGGCTATTTTATTTTTTCTTTTATTTATGTGCATGGGTGTTTTTTCTGTATGTTAAGTTTGTCACTTGTTTGTTGTGTCTGAGGAGGTCAGAAGATCATGTTGGATCACCTGGCATTGCTGTTACAGAGTCGGATGAGCCACCATATGAACTGAGCCATCTCTCCAGCCCAAGACAGGGTATTTAAAATATAAAACCTGTGAACTCTTTCTTCTAGGAAATAGTTCATGGAAGCCTGTTGTGTTCTTATTGCAAACATTTCTGGTAGCAGTAGTCTGAGTTACTCTGCCCAGTTTATGTTTCTAAACTTTTCCCTCAGTGGTTTCTGAAATCCTTGCATCATAGTTTAGTGTAGATTTCTTAGGCTCTGATCTTCAGACAGAAACAAACAAACAAACAACCTGTGTAGATATATCATGGGCTATGTCAACTAGAACTTGAAATGTTTCTTCATCAGCTCTCACACGACTAAATTCCGTTTCCAAAATGTCAAGTTAAGGGTGAAAGAATGAGTTTGATGGAGACCCACCTAGACAAATGAATGCAACTAGGGAAAAAAGGGAATGAAATTCTAAGGAGCTCAGACTGGTCTGAAACTTACATCAGAGAAAAATTACATGTTCTAGTTTTCAGACCTTAAGGACTCTTAATGCAGAAATGTTAAATAGTACAAACTGGAACAAACTCTGTAGACCAGGTTGCCTCTTTCTCCCGAATGCTGGGGTTAAAGGCATGTACCACCATTGCTCATCTTTTTTCAGCATTGTTTTTATTTCTCCTCCCCACCCCCCTTACCTGTGTTCACTCTTTTATTCACCAAAAATTCAAGGGGTGATTACTGTATATTAGGCATTGTGTTAAGTTCTACAGAGACAAAAACTAAAAAATATACTGAGTTCTTGTTCACAAGACACTCAAGGAAGGATACATGCTCAGGTAGATAGTTATACTATGATGTGATTATTGCAGTGTGATAATTATGAGGAATACATAAGATGGTATAGATCCTTCCTTTTGCCTAAAAGTCATCATCTATGAAGGCAAGAAAAGCAACAGTGTAAGGTAGGCAGTTCCCCGGAGTAAAGTTTCCACCCTCATATTCCTGACAGCATTTCTTCAGTAGAAGCATGTACCTCTTACACTATGTACAATAGGGCACAAACTGGATTGTGTCCAAGGAGAAAATAAACGTGGAGGACTTGGTGGGAAGATGGAGTGGCTAGTGTTAAAAGATACTGGCATGCAGACCTCTTCCCTTTTGCAGCAATCACTGGAGAGGCAGCTGCCAAAGTGAAGTTCAATCTCTTTGTGACTTCTCACTGAAGCAAGAACTGTAAAAGGCATTTCAGTTCACCTTCTCACATTTGGAGGAAGGTCATTTTTTCTTCTCTTTCTAAAGAGCTGAGAGGGGTGTAATGGTTGATTTATGGACAGTGAAGGCATGGTGAAGTTCAGGTTGTGCAAGGACAGTACAAAGGTCAACAGATTGGTGGAGTGGTCCAGCTGTACAGGAAGAAATATGCCATCTCCATTGAATGGGTGCTGGTTGTTACAGTTTTTGTAATTAAAAAAAAAAATTGGTTACAGACAAACATGGATTTTTTTTTTTGTAATGTAATTTTTTTTATACCTTATTTTGGTTGCATGGTTCCAGAAATGCTAGTGCTTTCAGAAAGTTTGAAAGTTTAATTAATATCTTTGAAGTTTTCTTTAAAATGTGAATTATTTTGAGCATAATGCATAAAACACAACATAAAACTCCCATCCCTTCCAGCCAACCATCAGTTCCTAATATCATAACACGTTTGATCTTTTTAAAGACGAGATGCCTTTGAATGTATGTATTCTTAGCAGCTGTCATTTTCCCTCTTGTCCCCTCAGAGTTAAATACTCCCCAAAAAGAAAGCTCTATTTTTACATGAGTTGTAAATGTGTATATCACACAGAAGTTTACTATATTCATTTTTTTTGTGTTTTTTTTTCTTTTTGAAACAGGATTTCTTTGTGTACACTTCATTTTTTTAAAATTTTTTATTTGTATAGTTTTTTTTTTGTTTGGAAAGCTCTATTTTTACATGAGTTGTAAATGTGTATATCACACAGAAGTTCACTATATTCATTTTTTTGTGTTTTTTTTTCTTTTTGAAACAGGATTTCTTTGTATACACTTCATTTTTTAAAATTTTTTATTTGTATAGTTTTTTTTTGTTTTGTTTTGTTTTTTTGAGACAGGGTTTCCCTGTGGCTTTGGAGGCTGTCCTTGTAGACCAGGCTGGTCTCGAACTCACAGAGATCCACTTGCTTCTGCCTCCCAAGTGCTGGGATTAAAGGCGTGCTTTTTTTGAGACAGGGTTTTACTATGTAGCTCCGGCTGTCCTGGAGCTCACTGTGTAGACTAGGGTAGCCTTGAACTCATGGAGATCTACCTGCCTCTGCCTCTCGAGTGCTGGGATCAAAGGCGTGCACCACTGCCCAGCCTAGAAGTGTACAGTCTTAACCTCTGAGCATCTTTCTAGCCCAAGTAACAGAGATTTTGAATATAGTTTGGCTTACAGTTCCTTTCCTAAAATCATCACAAGTATTAGCCAGCACTGTCAAGCCCTTTTGCTAAAACAAGCATTGTTCTAGAAACCAGAGACATTTGGTATTGCCTATACATTCTTTCCCCTTAGCCTTTCTTTAATGTATTTTGTTAGTTTTAATTGTTTTAGATTTATGTATATGAGTGTTTTGCTTGCATGTGTGTGTACTACTTGTGTGTCTGGTGCCTCTGAAGACCCGAAGAGAGCATTGGATCCCCTGAAACTGGAGTTTTGGATCGTAGTGAACCTCGATGTGATGCTGGGAACTGAACATGGTTCCTCTGCAAGAATAACATGTGCTCTTAAACACTGAGCCATCTCTCCAGCTCCCATATTTTGTTGTTTGTAGATAGGATCTTGTTGTGTGTCCCAGGGTAGCCTGGAACTTGAGAGTAGCCTTGAATTTGCAACCTTTCTGTCTCTTGCTCCTTCCCAAGTTCTGGGATTACAAGTGTGTGATACTATACCCTATTCATCTTTTTTTGTTTTAAGACTGAGTTTCACATTGCACACTGGCATCTTTGGCTCTTCCAGGCATTGTAGATATTGCTCATCTTGTTAACTGCCCTTAACATTTTCTTAATGGTTTGTAACTGCCAGTGCTTTAAGGATAAGCACCTGTTTCCCTATACCATCCCGTGGAAACAGTTCTTTAGTATAGATACCTTTCAGCTAGCAGTGTTAGTTTCAGGAGGCCTTCATTTGGTTTGCAGTTAAGGGATATTGAAAATGGAGTATCTTGTAATGTAGTTCTAGTTGGGACTGACAGTTGTTGCAACTCAGAGGCTGTTTACTGGTTGTGACATTTAAGAAGGCGTGGGCCTGGGCTTATGACCTGGTAGATACTGCTGGCTTAGCACAGTCACGTCCTAAGTTTGATGCACAGCACTGCCAAACAAAATAAAAAGGCTTGAAGGAAGCTGTGCTGATAAAGGTTTTTAAAGTTCTGTTGTGCTGACTCCTTAATTCAGTGTCAATTTTTGACATATCGTCTGACTGTGTTTTAGCCTAGGCTAGCTTTGAATTCCAGGTTCAAGTGATCTTTCTTTCTTAACTATCTGATTGCTGGGACTACATGTCAATGCCAAAATATCCAGCATTCTGGGGAGAGGGAAGCAGCAGCAGAGTGTGTTTTGAGGCAGGGGCTTACCATGTTGCTTAGACTGACCTCAGTCTCACTATCTTCTTGCTTAAACCTCCTGAGTAGCTGAGATCATAGGCATGTACCA